CCTCTGAGAACATTTTGTACCACCGATAAACGTTGCTTCGGTCCAAGGTAGCTTCACCATATGCCACAGTCAACATTCGGAATGCGTCCGCGCACTTAATTTTGTTTTTCACACAAAATTTGATACAGATTCTTTGATCCATTTTCTGGAATAGACAAAAATTGAAGACGAGCCAAAACACGTGCAAGCAAAGCAGCTGTCGAAAATTAACTGAACATTCAAAATGGTCGAACTTGTCGGCATAAGTGAGAGACATGAGTACCAACATAACGCCACAAAAAATCGAAAATCGAATATACGTAACCCACGGAAATTCAAAATTCGCGATACTTTTTGAACAGACCTCGTATGTTCTAAGTTTGAAGCAAACCGAAACGTACAAGGAAGTTTTTTTGTATCGACATAATAGTACAATATATTATGTGATATATTCGTTAAAATTCTTGTTATAATTGCGCACCAATTTCCGCTGTATTGACACTCTCATTGCCTTTATATTCTTTGAGTCAATGTACAAAACTCTTTCGAAATAAAACAATATAGTTGCAACAACCTTCCCAGCTAACAACCGATGTCGGTGACCTTCATTTTTAATTGCTTCTCGTTCTTCTAAAAATTGTTTGTGCCACGCGTACATTTGAGTCTTCTTATGGGTGTTGTCCCGAACTGTGCCTTAAGCATTCTCAAAATTTTAAATAATTTTACGTTGTAAGAAACTTGATAATAATCGTTGCGCAATGGATGAGGATACCTCTTGCTCTGGCATCGTGATACTAACTAAAGGAGCCGTAGTGTGGAGTCCTTCTCTATGAGGAGGATTTCCTTTAGGCATCCCTAACGCTTAGAAGCCGCATCCCTTTCCATTCACCTTACGGCGTACAAAAATAATTCCGATTTATATTTGATTCACCCTCGTATAATCAACTTTGATAATAAAATAATTCATGCGTATTTTGTTAAATACGAGTAATAGTAATATCATTAGTAGATAGTTAATCGTTTAAAATATTTATATACTTTTACATTTAACTTTGCTAATTTTCATATAACAACTACTGTTAGTATGCACTGCAATCACACTCATGAGCGTGGCACAACTTCGTCGCGCGTTTGTAGCTAATACTCTTTAATCTTAAGAATTTTTACAATGAGAATTTTTGTCTGGCCTTAAAAGAACGCTACAGAAAAATTGTTTTTACGCGGCCACTTCTGTATACGGCGTGAAATCTCGAAACCGAAAGTTGAGCGCCAGGCACGAGTGAGCGTGCCGCTCTTTCCTGAAATTAATTAGAATATTTTCGAAATAATATTCTACTGAATTACGAACGTCAACGGCTTTCGTAATCGACAATTCAGCTCCGAAAATGGCAGAGGAGGTGGTTCATGGCTGAAAATAGAGGATAGTTTGGAGGAACGAATAAGACGGTTGCAATAAATGAGACAGTAATTAATAATAGTAAAATATAACATATATTCTGTGAATCTCCGACTCTCGTTCATACACGCTCGATGAGTCATGACAATAACAATGAGACAAGTAAAGAGATGTTTTGTTATCATAAACACAGCGTGATCTCGTGCTCGTCCGCGGGGACTTCGAATCGTCAGAATTGCGGAAATTAATGACGAACACCACATTACAGAATTCCGATACAAGCGAGACAATAATTACGCGACAATACTTAATGGAAATGACCAAGTTGTGGCTTAGGCGGACGCGGAAAATTACTATCCCGAGAATATCGCAACGAGTCGTCATGGGAGGCAGCGCGCTCAAACACTATTAACGCGAGAAACCTGACGCCATAGCAATTTCACACACGTTTCACATACAAAACCGACAAGGATAATTACACGCGCCTCCCTGACATGGAAATTGGCGACCTTACAATTCAGCGGCGCTCGTCTCACCCCAGTAATTCTCCTTTAAGTCTTCGGTATCATATCCTGGCTATCTTAACATCCTACGTCCTTCACACGTGTCTACGCAGCTTGCTCGCTACAGTACAAGTACCGGGCGCTGATCTTTCCGGGGGCACGCAGTGATTGCTATTTCCACGAGGGGCCTTATCGCGTTTAATTGGTGCGCGAATAGCGTGAGCCATATCATCTGCGTATCCTGGCGCGTTCTGGCGCGCGGAATTCGACTTGGCAGCAGGATTTTCTTTGGCCGCCTAGGAGACTCTCCCGGATCTTTGCTATGCGGGAGATTACTCGCATCCCAGTAGTCGGTGCCTCCGCTTCCGACGTTGGTTCCAACCTCTCAAGGGAGGTCTCCACGAGCTCCGTTGTAGAGTCTCTCGCCGACACTTGGGCGCAGTGGCCATCCCCGGCTGCCACCCTCGTTATTCCTCTTTTATGTGCTGTAATATTATGTAATGGAACGACAGGTTTTGGAACAAAGCAAAAATTATTAAAATATGGAGCGATATCACCTGTGTGCTCTCCTCTTTTTAAGTTGCTGGTGTTGACCAATCCGTCTTTAATCGTTCCTCTTCTGAATCTGGCAGTTTTCTTTCTTTATCGCGGACCGGTGAGACGACGCAAAATTCACAAGATCACAAGGGGGTCGCCAATTATCCTGTAAAACTCGCAGCACGATAGCGCACGAAAGAACGACAAAAACTGATACAGAAAATCTGCAGGACGCACAAATATACGAAATAAACGCGAAATAGACGAGATAACGTTAAAAAGTGTCCGCAGATAAAAGCCCGACTTCTAAAAGTGGAAGGACACAAGATGTCAGAGTTGCGCTGTTCGATCAGGTCTTACCCTTGTGACAGATGGAACACGTCACGTCACAACACTGATCTAGTACACATAACAGAATTCGCTATAAGATTTTAGGGAAAGAGGGAGGAGTATTCTAATTACCGGTATACTTTTTTAAATTAACGAATTAATTAAAAGGTATTTAGTCAGAATGGAACATCCTGTTATTCATGTTTCCTGGAACGATGCAGTTGCCTACTGCAATTGGATGGGAATGAGATTGCCAACTGAAGCAGAATGGGAAGTTGCATGTCGTGGTGAACTCTCTGATAGACTTTATCCTTGGGGAAATAAACTAATGCCAAAGAATCAACATAAGTAAGTTGAACTTATATTTATATAATCTTAATTTGGAATTGTAATTGTGAAGGAGATGGGTTTCCTCACTGAATTTGATGAAATTATAGTCTCATTCGACGCGTTTTTGCGTGAAATGAACAAATCCGGTAGAAAAAAAGTGTCGCTCTGCAGTCTGTTCCGGAAAGCGAGAAGTTGATTCCTATTTAGGTTAGGAAATCTGTCACATTCATGCCAATACTGCGATATGAGCATGCGCTGCGGTCATCTTCTTAATTCATGCTCTGTGACCTCGTGAAGAACAAAAATTATATTAGAAAATAATTTATATTTTTAAAGTAGAGAATTTATTTTTAAAGCAGAGAATTTGTATTTATAAAGCTGAAAAATTGTGTCATTAAAGCGGACAGATACTTAAACCACAGCAGGAAATATCTACAATAAATCTCACCAGAGATTTTGAAGAGGAAGAAATTAAATAGTTGTTTTCTTGTTTTAATCGGTAGTTTTTCTTAGCTTCTTAGTATATTCCTCGGATTTGGTTTTCTGACCCTATTTTTTGAGGGGTCATAGTATCATGAATATCCATTTAACTTTAGAGCCTCTTCGGGCAGCAGAAGGCTCGCTTATGTTTTTGCATTTAGTAGTAGTTTACATTCTTATTCTTTAGAGTTTGTCAACACTTGAGTGGACCTACAGTTTAATGCCGAATTCGAACGGCGAATGCGAAAAATCGCGTATTTGGGGCGCAGGTGGGATCGAACCCGAAGCCACAGATCACGAGTCAATCCCATTGAGCGGCGAGCCACTCAGCGTCTCGACGGTTTGGGGTATACAAATATTAAATTAGAAAGTGCTACAACATTAAGGGAGACACTTGGAAGTAATGAAAGCAATAGTTTTTTAATTAAATTTTTTAAATTAAATTTTTTGATTATAATTCGAAAACGAGAAGCGATAACGAAATATGACAAGAGAGTTTTTTGATTGCTGCCGAAATTCTCTACAAAATAAGCACCTATCGAACTTTGAACTATGAATAGAACTGAAGATACAGCGATTTGGAGATGAGTTTGTAAAAACGGCAAAAATGGCTATTTTTTCAGTTGCCTTCTGCATCGTTTTGAGTGCATCAGAGAGTTAAAAATGACATTAGATAATTTAACATATACATCTTACCTGAAAAAAATGAGCTTAAATTCAATTTCATACAATTAATACTTCCAGAGATATCAAAGTATACACTTTTTTAACAAAATTAGTTTTTTTTTTTTTTTTTTTTTTTTCAAATATTATCATTTCAAGTTTTTTTTTGTTTCATGTATATAATGGTATTATAATTAACAAATTTAACAGTGATTAAAAATACAAAATGACATTAAAAATAAATTGCTTTACATCAACGATGCAATGTAGGAGAGACGGAAGTTATATGTAACAGGGCTATGTAGTAACTATTTCACAATAATGATTATAATCACTTGCTAATTGTTTTGTTTTAAAAAGTAAGAAATTTTTTCTTTTTATTGAAAGGTTGGATTTTTCCTGCCAAGAGAGAGACAGAAAATGAATTAATAAAAGAATTGACTGTAAGTGATTATGTATACAACGTAAAGCGAACAATCTCAGTATTACATTGCATTGTTGATATAAAACAATTTATTTTTATTGTATTACTGTTAAATTTTTTAATTATTATATATATAGGAAACAAAAAAAACACTTCAAATGGTAATATTTGAAAAAGACCGAATTTCATTAAAAAAGTGTTTACTTTAGAGGTCAATGACTCTGGAAGTATTAATGGTTTGGAGTTGAATTTAGATTCATTTTTTCAGGTAAGATACTGCTTTAAATCATCTAAAATCACATTTAGCTTTCTGAACATTCAGAACGATGTAGAAGACAATAACTGAAAAAAATGCCTATTATTGCCGTCTTTTTCAAGAAATTTCACTCATCTTTAAATTACTGTATCTCTAGTTTTATTCATAGTACAAAGCTCGATAAATATTTATTTTTAGGGAATTTCAACAGCAAAGAGCTCTCCATTTTTCGTTATTTTTTCTCGTTTTTGAGTTTTAATCGAAAAAAAACTTTGTTACTTAATTACTTCCAAGTGCCTCCCTTAGTGTCGTAGCACTTTTTTAGAGTCTTTTTATATTCAAATTAATATTGTCGACGATTGGCCTTTAACGCAAGCGCATGTTGATCATAAAATATGAAATGTTACTACAGCGTATGCTCGCATGGCAGTATCTCTTGATGGATTTCCTACCTGACAAAACATTTTTTTTTCACAAAATTGAAGTACTCTTGAAATCATACTTTTGTTCAAAAAATTTTTTTCTATTTTTTATTGTTTGAGATCATAAAAAACCATCATGCGATGCCGTCGCATGCATGATGGAAAGCTAAAATTCTTAATTCGCATAATTATTAAAAATTGTCGTTAAATTTTGTGTGTATAAAATAAGTCTTCAAAACTTCTAGTACGATTACAATCTTTAATGGTTTTATCGTTTTGTTATTTCTAAATAGAAAAAATTTATTCTATACACATACCGCTGAGAATGGCTCATCGAATTTTCTAGAAAACAGCAAGCGCGCACGAGAGCAGCGCTTAGATGAAACGTCGCATGCGATCACTAATCACGCTCGGGGATTTTCTGTCGCGCATGATTAGTACGAATCAAATGAAGAGAGAGAACCTGAGCTGCCAATCTTGCTCTTGTCACCCGGGTGTCACCTTAAAATTTCAATTGTTGGCGAATTTTTAATGGCAATTAGCTGAAAGAGGCTTCGTGTCGCGTAGACAATACGTAGGCTGCTAGAAAAGTTTCTGCAATCTAGTACTTTCAGTGGCACCAAACGTTCTGCTACTATCATATCCGTAAAATTAGACGTTTTTAACCTATAATTCAATTGACAGTTTGTACCCAAGCCAACTATTTTTGTTTGCATAGTATTTTAAAAGAAGTTTTGTAAGAAAATGGAAATTTCGCGAGAAAATTTTCGGGCAATGATTTTTTATGATTACAAATGTAATCTAACTCCGAAAAAATGCATCGATCGACTTCCTTTGACTTTTGGAGACTTTTGAAGCACCATCCAATAGGACTGTTTATAATTGGTTTGCCGAATTCCAGCGTGGACGTACCTTTTTTAGTGATGAATTCCGTGAAGGTCGTCCATCCACGTATGTTGTTGCCACTAATGTTGATGCTGTGCGTGAAATGATTGAGAGAGACCGGCATATAACATACCGCGAGATTCAGGCATTCTTAGGCATTGACATGAAAGCAATACATACAATTTTGCATGATCACTTGATTTTTTATCCAGAGTAGTATATTGGTAGCCATGGGGCATCACAACAAACCCCCTCCACGTCTCCCTCTGGCGCCATGGGCCTAGACGGGTCAGTCAGCCGAAATGGCGCGTTCTGATTGGCTCGCCCTATACTCACCCAAGATTTGATTGGTTCGCCCTATACTCATCCAAGATTTGATTGGTTCGCCCTATACTCACCCAAAAGGTGATTGGAGAGGGTGGGGGGTAGAGTGTCTTAGACGAAATAGAGGTTTGAAAAATGGTGAGTGGGGATTTGGACTTCAGCATTCTTTGTCGCGCGGCTAGAGTACGAACAGAGGGGGGATGAATACCGGTCTAATCTTATGACGGTCGCTTTTGTTGCCGCGGGGGGGCAACGTCTCCGACGTGTAGGCGATTCGGTGAATGTCTGATAAAGGAAATCTTATACGGAAAATTTGTAGGTCTAGAGAGAGACTTGCTTTTGTTCGGAAGAATTTTGGGGGAGAGGTAAAACAGGAACACGTTCAGCAGTTGCGGCGCGTCGTCTTCGAGCATTACTTTAAAAAAAAAAATTCTTTTCTATATTTAGTGTATTTAATGTACATTATCTGAGTCTGTAATTCGGGGAAAATGTATCTAATGTAAATGAGGATGAAGGGGTAGGAGTAAGAAACAAGGCAATATTTACAAGTTTAAAAATGTTTATTTTAAAAAAGATATTACATGAAATAGTTATTTTATTTTTTTAAAAGAGTACACGTTTGAACATGACGGCATACAGCATGAGAATTTACGAGTTTATGTTTACAATGAAGAAAAATTTTATGAAATAACTGTACAATCAAACGATCGTTTCGCTTACAATCAGAGGTAAACAGATCAAGAAACTGATTAAGATTATAGCCATTACACAAATAATATAGAAATACACAGCAGTATTGTCCGCAAGTTTGAGAAAGTATTCCTTGCAGCGTTGTCGTATTCCAGCGATAC